CACCTTCTCAGTGAGAGCTCCATATTCAAAGGTGCAGGCATTTGCAGCAAGGATGAGGAGGGCAGGGAAAGTAAGGGCAAAAAGGGGCAAGACTGTGCCTGACAGAGACCTTGGGGAAATCACTCATCCTCTTTAAGTGTCTGTTTCCTCACTGGTAAAGCCAAACCCGTGAGAGGAAAACATGACTGCTTGCACGGCTAGCTGCTCTGTGCCAGGCATTAGCTCATCTCCTCCTCCTAATGACCCCATGAGGAAAGGGGATCCCAGGGTCAGAGAGTGAAGCAACTTGAGCACGGTCACACAGCTAATCAGTAGAAGAGCCAGGGTTTTATCTCATGGTCTTCTAAACCCAGAACCCATCCTCTCTGTCATGTCCCAGGGTGGCCCAGGACAATTTTGGTTTCTGATTGTCATAACCTCATACAGTTGGTGTAATTACCTCAAATGTTCTCTTTATGAACTGCGGATGTAAGTCAGTGTCAGTGACAATGTACTTGCCTGGCATATCATCTCCAGCACAGGAAGGGGGCAGGGAGAGAAGGGAGGGAGGGAAGGAGGGAGGGAGGAAGGAGGGAAGGAAGGGAGGAGGAATGGAGGAAGGAGGGAGGGAGGAATGGAGGAAGGAGGGAGGGAGGGAGGGAGGGAGGGAGGAAGGAGGGAGGAGGGAGGGAGGGAGGAGGAGGAAGGAGGAGGGAAGGGAGGAAGGAGGAGGGGGAATGGAGGAAGGGAGGGAAGGGAGGGAGGAGGAGGAGGGAGGAAGGGAGGGAGGGAGGAATGGAGGAAGGAGGGAAGGGAGGAAGGGAGGGAGGGAGGAAGGGAGGAAGGAGGAGGAGGGAAGGGAGGGAGGGAGGAAGGGAGGAAGGAGGGAAGGGAGGAGGAGGAAGGGAGGGAGGGAGGAAGGGAGGAAGGGAGGAAGGGAGGAAGGAGGAAGGGAGGAAGGAGGGAAGGGAGGGAGGGAGGGAGGGAGGGAGGAAAGGGAGGAAAGGAGGGAGGGAAGGAAAACAGTAACTTTATGTCAGAATTCTACGAGCCACCACCTTACGCACATGATCCAGTGAGGAGTCACACAGGTTTCATGTGCCCAGTGAGTGTGAGGTGGTGTGAGGCACTTTACCTCTGTGGTCTCCAAAACCTACAACCTCAGTCTGATTATGAGAAAAGAGCAAAAAAGCCCAATAGGGGGACATTCTACCAAATACTTGATCAACACTCCTTCAACATTGTCAAGGTCAAGAGAAACCAGAAGAGACTAAGAAATTGCCCCAGATCAGAGGTGACTAAGGAGCTGTGACTTAATGCAACACAGGATCCAGGATGGGATCCTGGAGCCAAAATGGACATTAGTGGGACAACCAGCAAAATTCAAATAAGGTCCGCAAGTTAGTGAACAGAAATGTGCCAGTGTTGGCTTTAATAAATACATTATGGAAACGTAAGAAGTCCACATTAGGGAAAATTGGGTAAACTCTTTGTACTACCTTTGCAACTTTTCTATAAACTAAAATTATTCCAAAATAAAAGTTTTATTTAAAAAAATGTTCCCTCTTAGTCATAAAAGTGTCCAAGGTTAGACAGTAAACTATATGGTCACCTGGTCATAAGCCTGGTTTTGCAGATTAGTCCATTTGTGCTGCTCTAACAAAATACCTGAGACTGTGCAATTTATAACCAACAGAAAATTATTGGCTCACACTTCTTAAGGCTGAAAAGTCTAAGGTCAAGTTCAGTATCTGGTGAGGCCATTCTATTCCAAGATGGCACCCTGTATTCTATTCCAAGATGGCACCCTGTATTCTATTCCAAGATGGCACACTGTATTCTATTCCAAGATGGCACCCTGTATTCTATTCCAAGATGGCACCCTGTATTCTATTCCAAGATGGCACACTGTATTCTATTCCAAGATGGCACCCTGTATTCTATTCCAAGATGGCACCCTGTACACTGTGTCCTCCAGAGGGAAGGGTGCATCCTCACATGGCAAAAGGCAAAAAGGACCAAGAGGCAAAAGGGTAACAACTTCCTCTTTCACAATGGCAGAGCCCTCGTGGCCTAATTACCTCTTAAAAGTCTCATCTCTTTATACTGTTACAATGGCAATTAAATTTCAGGGAGAAAGCTGGGGGCGTGGCTCAAGTAATAAAGGTCTTACCTAGTAAGTGTGAGGCCCTAAGTTCAAACCCCAGTGCCTCAAAAAAAAAGAAAAATTCAGCAAGAGTTTAGAGGGAGCATTCAAACCATAGCAGTCTTTAACCAACATGTCTTAAGAAAATCACCCACAAGGTAAATATGATCAAAGTACTTCATACACATATATGAAACAGAATAATGAAACCTATTTTAAAATTTCTAAAAGAGAAGAGAGGGAATGAGAAATAGAAAAGAAAGGAGAAGAAAGCATAACAGAGCGGATGAATTTGATGAAAGTGCATTATATGAATATATGGAAATATCACCATGAAACTTCTTTGTACAATTGATACATGCTAACAAAAAAAGAAAATCACCCATAACTTCTTCCTCTTTCCTGATAGTAGCAACTTAAAAGGTCAGAGAAAGCAAGGTGAGCAGGCTAAAGCTTCAGACTCTGAAAGCTATGGCTGAAGCCCCCTCCCACTTGCTTGCTGTGTGGTCTTGGGCAGACTGCATTCTTTCTTTGGACCTCATTTTCCCATCTGACAAGTAAGTTCACTGAATGATGACAATGACTAGTGACATTTATTGAGCCTATGCTTGGTGACACCACCACAGCAGACACTATACTGTGCGGCCCAGGTTCCCTCGCAGGACTGAAGGATTTACTTCTGCCAGTGGCTCAGAATTCTCCCTGCTGTCTGCCTTCTCCAGCTACTGACCTTAGCTGAAGAGAATGTCAAGCCCCAGGCCCAGGCCATGCTCTGTTCTGTTGTAGAAGGTGTGAAGATCCAACTTCCTCCCTCACCCCAACCTGGATGACTTTGAAGGTTGTCTCCACTGCCAAGTGCCCCTTGTGGCTAGCAGGAAGGCCTCTGTGGAGACTGCACTACTGCCTGTGTCACCCTCTGCTCATCCTGGTCTTCCCTTCCCCACAGTGTCAATCCTGAGAGGGCTTCCCATAAACATCCCGCACACTGATCCCACCACAGGACTGGGAACCACTGCACCCACACCAGCCTTCTTAAACCTCAGGCTGGTCCTGTTTTTATAGACAAGACAACTGAGTTTCGTGGGAAAACTTGCCTGGCCAAGATCACACAACTAAGAACTGGTGATGCCAGTGAGGAAACTGAACATCACCCAGGCAGATGGTTTGCCCAGGTCTCTGAGCTATAAAAGATGGTGGGACCAAGACTAGTCTCTAGGTCTGCTTAACTCTCAAGGCCACAAGTCCCAACCTCCAGCCCAGGACACTTACAGCCAATAGGATCACTACAGGCACTGGACAGGTAGTGCCTTTCACTATGCCCTGCCATTGCACTGCTGTCCCTAAGGCTCACACCCAATGCGCAAAAAGAGGACAATAGTACTTAAGTGGACAGCAAGAGGAAGGAAGAGCAATCCAAACAGAGGGCACTGAGCACAGAGAAAAAAAGTCCAAGCACAGGGCAAGAATGGTTAAAAAAGGGGAGGGGGCTGAACAAGAGAGTGGGCACTGGCTTTGAAAGGCTATTGGTGGAATAGCTCAAGTGGTAGAGCACCTGCCTAGCAAGCGTGAGGTCCTGAGTTCAAACCCCAGTACTGCCAAAAAAAAAAAAGAAACAAAGGCTACTATCTAACAGGTTATTTTAGACAAATCACATTATCTCTCTGAGCCTCAGTTAGCTCACCTATAAAACAGCGACAGGGACTGGGGAAGTAGCTCAGTGGCAAGAGTGCTTGACTAGCATGTGCCAGCCCTGTGTTCAATCCTCAGCACGGCTAACAAATAAATAACCCTTCTTCATTGAGCAAGTCAATAAATTTAAGCCACTGAAGATTGCTGTGCACCCAGTAGGTGCTACATGTGTTTGGAGCGATCACTAGAACTTTATCTGAAGTAGAATGAGAAGACATAGAGGAGTTCAAATGCAGACAACAGGGCAGGTGCTTATTGGGTGGCAGGGTGGGTGGTTGGATGAGTGCATGACTGAGGAGGGTGGAGTGAATGGAAGTGGTGTTGGATGGAAGTATGGCTAAATGATGGAGGTGGCTGGATGTTGGAGGGCTGAGTGGATGAATGGCTGGGAATGGATCTTGTTTTAGTGGATGGAAATATGGCTGGGTGGTGGGGCAGGCGAATAAGTGGAAATAGTTCAGTAAATGCAGGTGGCTGAGTGAATGGGTGCATGGTTGAGTGAGGATGGAAGCAGTTGAGTGAATGGGAGTGACTGGTGGACAGGGATGGATAAGTGGTTGAAAGGATGTTTGGGTGGTTGGCCGGTGGCTTGTGTGGATGGATGGGTGGATAAATGGATGGGTGGCTGAATAAAAGGGTTGAAATTTGGATGGGAGGTTGAGGATGAATGCTTCAATGGCTGTACGAATAGGTGGTTGCTCAGGTAGATGTTGAATGAGCAGAGGTGGCTGGATGGGGTGGAAGAGCTGGCTGGATGGAGTGCTGTTTAGGTGTTAGAGAAGTTATGAACAAAGGCACAGGATGGATGGATGGGTGGTTGAGTGCATGGCTGAGCGGAAGGATCATAACTGGGTAGCTGAGTGGGTAAACAGAAGGGGAGCAGACAAAGCCATGTTGAGTGGAGAGATGGTTAGGTCACTTGAGTGAATGTAAGAGTTATGTCCAGGGGTGGGCCGGGTAAATGCAGCAGCTGAGTAGATGAGTGAGGGTATGGATGGGCCGGTAGGTGGGTGGATGGATGGATAGATGGATGACAGCAGCTCCTGAAGTTCCACGAATTAACCCTGTAAAAGGTCACAAGGGTACCCAGATAGTGAAAGAAGCAGAAACAGGTTTGGAGACAGGACCTCCAAGGCTGTCCCACTCAGAGGCCGTCCATCTCACCTGCCCCACCTGGAGACCCTACCTGGAGGCGGCGATCTCGGCCTTCTGGCGCGCTATGGCGGCGGCGCGCTGGGCACCCTCCACGCTGTGCTCCACCTTCTGGCGGACCTTCGTGCTCTTGAGCGGCAGCACGCGGCGCCTGGTGCCCTTGACCAGCACGTTGTGGCGGTACTTGCCCTCCTCGCGGTGGCCGTCGGGCAGCGTGGTGCAGCCGTAGCCGTGGCGCAGGTTGTCCAGCCACTCGCCCTCGTAGCGCAGGCCGCTGGAGCGCTCGCTCACGCCGAAGCCCGAGCGTTTGTCGTTCTTCCACTCGCCCATGTAGGTCTCGGTGGTGGTGGCGTCGATGTCGGCCTCGAAGGGTGCAGCCTCGTCTGCGCCCTCGGCGCCCTCGCCCAGGCTGGCGGTGGAGGCCGCGTCGCTGGCGCCCGAGCTGAGGTCGCTCTTGAGGAAGCTGACGCGGCTGCGCTGGCTGCCCAGGGACGTGCGGGACTCGGTGCGCCGCAGCTTGCCCAGCAGCGCGCCCCGCTGGAACAGGCCGCCGCCCTTGGGGGCCCGCGCCGCCGCCTCGGCGTTGGCCAGCAGGCTGAGCGCGAAGCCACCTCGCGGGATCGCGGGCGAGGGCAGCGCCGGGCCGTCGGACGCCGGCGACGTGGGCGAGTCCGGGGCCACCGTGCCGTTGCTGTGCTCGCTGCGCAGAGACGAGAGCGACGTGCGCAGCGGAGAGCGCACCACCACTGCCATCCCGTAGGGCACGCTCTGGCGCACCCCGTAGCCGTGGCGCATACCGTTGGTGAACTGGCCTTGGTAAGTCCCTGCAGACGAGGACAGCACGTCAGTGGGTGGCTTACGGGGCCCTAGGGTGCATGGTGATGATGTAGGTGTGCTGGGACTAGGAAGTGTGTGCAAGGCGGGGTGGGGCCATATGAGGGACACTGAGTGCGCGTTACTGTGACTACGTGAGATTCCAAGTGTGCAAGAACGTAAGTGGACAAGCCAGAGTACTGTGCCCAGTGGTGTGCGTGACTGCTGGTAGGAACATGGCAAGGTCACAGGTGTGCAAGACAGTGCGGGTAGTGTGAGAGCATCAATGCATGAAGCATTGTGAGCAGCTGAGGCCCTGGGCCTGGGTGAGGTTCAAGCAGTGTGCGAGCACAAGGGGCAAACAAGCCAGGAGGCATGTTCCGGACAGCCATCTTGAGAAGGGCAAATACTGCCACAACAGGCCAGTCAAGGGCACATCAGAGTGTTATAGAGTTCCCCGGGCAGGTGAGGCTGCTCAGATTTTGGATTATCCAAGACAGAAGGAATGTGCAAATGCCTGAGTTTGCAAGACAGTGGGTCTGTGCAGTTGTGGGAGTATACGAGGCACTGTGTGCAAAGAAAGTGTCTGAGATCATGTGAGCAAGACATCAGGGGAGTGATGATCATAAAGTGATGGGAGCCTTCAAGGTCTTGAGTGTGCAAAAAAAAGGTAGAGTTGAGTGAAGAGTGCACACCCATCAGCGGGTCAAAGATGCAAAGTGGTGTGAACAGGCAAAGCCCTCTTCGGATATAAAGTTTTGTGCATATGCACAGCCATCCTTGAGTCCAGGGTGATGGGATGGCCAGGTCATGGACAGACAGGACAGTGACTGTGCACAGTAATGTAAACGTTGGAACACAGGAGAGAGCAAGCTCATGTGTACAAGAGACTTGTGGGTATGCATGTGTCTTAGATGAGATCAGGGGACTGGGTGTCCCAGGTCCCATGGAGGTAACACTATGGATGCCTATGAGGTTCTGCATGTTTAAGGTCACCTGATTGTCACAGCATAAAGCAATATGAGGCACTTGAGGCTGTGGGCATTAGTGAAACTAAGACCACTTAAGACTATGTCTGCAGCATGGCGACCGTAGAAGGAGCAGTCAGCAGTCAGTTTCCTTCCTGAAAAAGTAGATGAGCTCCCACCCAGGGGACGGCTTGTGTTAGCAGGCTGCTCAAGTCCTATGGGAGCAGAGCGGCATCAGAGAGAGGAGGACAGACTCCAAGTACTGCCTCTGCCCTCACTAACTGTGTGACCTTGGGCAACTGACTTGACCTGTCTCTGCCTCGGCTTCCTTATCTGTCAGATAGCAATTACCTCTTACCTCATAGTGTTGTTGGAGATTTAAATGAGTTAATATCTCTGAAAAACGGAAAGAAAAGATATGTGTGATACTATGATTCTGCAGCGTTGTACTAGTATCTGAGGTCACCTGAGTTGTATTAACGATCAGATACAAAGCTGCCAAAATGACTTCACTCTGCACCCTATCCTGCCATGTGGTCTCCCCACAAGACTCCATCTCGAACCATGTCCCACTCTGGATGATGACGTCATCTAGTGTTTGCTCACTGTCATGGATATCCTCCTGACCCTCCAAAATATAGTCCCAGCCCTGGCCCCACCCCTTGCAACTCTAGATGTCAGCCTGAAGGCAGACGTCCCCTAGATGCTACATAGCCTTCAGTTCATCTACATACACACATACACACACACACACACACACACACACACACACCCTCTTGGTGTTCCTCCCCTACAGTGGCACTGCAAGCCAGTCCTATGCCAATCTCTCTGGGCCCCCAGCCTGCAGAATGATACCAAGACATATTGTCCACTGCACTGAAGGCGCCAATTCAGAGCCTTTATTTTAAAACACACACACACACACACACACACACACACACACTGACGCTGTCCCTTGTTTAACAAAAACTGAATGGCCTTTGCTATAATTTGGATCTTAAGTGTCCCCCAAACAACTACATGATAAAGGCTTGGTCCCCAGTGTGGCAGGGAGGTGGTGGAACCTGTAAGGGGTGGGGCCTAGTGGGAAGTCTTTAGATCATTGTGGGGCATGTCCCTTCTCTCTCCCTTTCACTTCTGGCCATGAAGTAGGTGGCTTTGCTCCACCATGCCTAAAACCAACAGGCCTAAAAAATACTAGTTAGTGCATAAGGGATTATGAACCAGAACCTCCAAAACTGAAGCAAAATAAGCGTTTTTTCTTTATAAATAATTATCTCTGGTATTTGTTATGTAATAATGGAGAGCTGACTAAGAGGGCCTCCTTCCCAACCAGTGCCCAGGAGTGTGGCCCAGTAACTGTGCCAAGCAACCAGGGAAGGCCCTCCACTCAGCCGGACAGGCCACTCTCCCTCTGTCCTTTGCACTGGCCATTCCTTGGCCTGAAGTTTTTTCCCACACATACCCTCCAATGTGTTGCCCACTGGGCCCTACCTGGCCTCCCGGTTCACATTGCAACTGCTCCTGCTCCCTGATTGGCATTTACCTCTTCTAACAGAGCATGTGGCTTGTTTATTACCTGTTTTGCTTGCCCTGCCCTGCCCCCCACTCCAATGGGTCTTTTCTAATTTGTTCCCTGAGCTATCCCCAAAATCTGGAGCAGTGCCTAGCACCTCGAGGTGCTCCACTCACCTTTGCTTCCTTGACCACACCCTTTAAATGACACCCTCACACCCAAGGCTTCCTATCTTCTTCTTTGCTTTGATCTTCCTCATAGCCTGCGGGCACAACATCTAAGACACTCTCTGTTTAGTTTGCTGCAGCATCCTCTGTGCCTAAAACAAGGTCAAGTGGGCACTCTACAAACACTTGTTGACTGAATGCATGAACAGCACGAATTGCACAACTATGTACCCTCTCTCCACCATCTGCATCAGAAAACAGCTCTGTAGAAATGCCTGCAGACTATTTTATGGTTCTTCTTTCACAGATGAGAAAAACTAAGGTCTAGCAAGGACAAAGGACTCACCCAAAAGAGCATGGCTAATGAGTGGCTAGACTCAAAACTCACACTGTCTAGCTATGTCCCTTCTACCTCTCAGAAGAAAGAGGAAAGGGGAAAGAAACAGAGAGCAGAAAAATGGAAAATGGGGGAGAGAAGACACCTGATCTCTGGACTGGAGGCATATGTGAAATTAAACCCACCAGCCTACCTTTAGCTTAAATTTGGCATGAGAAGGGCTGACGTGGTCCCTTTAAGCCCAAGAAAAACTAAGGTTGCAACAGAGAGAGGCTCTTGGCCCCAGTTGGGGAGGAAGCAGCCAGGCTATATTAGGAAACTTACCAGCCGGAGGCCAGAGGCACCAACACCCAGGGGAGGCTGGGAGTGACGGGGCCTGGGAAGGGGGAGAAGCCAGTGTGGGACCATGACTCTAAGCCTGTGTGTCTAAGACAGGACAGTCCTCCCTGGGGGCAAGAGGAGCACATCTGCAGAGGGAGAGAAGGTGTCTGCCACAGTTATCTGGTTGAGAGAGGCCCTCCACAAAAAGAATGCTTCCTCTGACAGCCACTAGGATGCCCTAAACGTGGCCTTGTAATCCCTGTGGGCATCCCATTGTCCTCAGAGGAATGACCAAAATCCCCAGCTGCTGCACAGTCTGCCCCGGCCCCCTCTCCTACCTCATCTTGAACGATACTGTAATCATGCTCGCCTCCCTACCTCAGGGCCTTTGTACATGTTTTCTCCTTTTATTGGCATCCCCTCTCCCTCTTCCCATGGCCAATTTGGAATGATAGGCTAAGCTTCAGCTTCAGTGTGACTTCATCCAAGAAGCGTTCTCTGGGCCCCTCCCAATTGCTGGCAGAAATGCCCACAGGCTATCATGTCACCTTCCTCACACTTTCCCCAGGTGCAGGGAAATGATGACTGTGATTATTGGTTCACTGTAAGTCTTCCCTCTTGCTCTTTGACTTCTAAGAGGTCGGGAGCCATGTCTAGCTTCTTCCCACTGTGATCTCAGCATCTAGCACAGTTCCCAGGCCCAAGGAAGCCTTCAGTAAGTAGCTGGTGATTGGTGACTGCTTTCCTGAATGGTCCCTTTATCTCCGCCCAGGAGCAGGAACTGCATCTCTTTCCCCCCCATGTCTCAGCATGACATAGGTGCCCAGTAGTTGGTGGCAGTGGCTGTTGGGGATGTCCAGCTCCACAGTCAGCAGCACCAACACTGGGAGTTATTGACATACATGTAAATGACAGCTGAGGACAGCAAGCATGGTAAATGATGTCCTGCCTCCTGAATTCAGTAGAACCTGAATATAGCCTGAGTAATGTGGATTTTAATCTTAACTCTGACCTTGAGTGGTTCTAAAACATGCATAAATTACTTAAGCCTGCCAAGCCTCAGTTTGTCCTTCTGTAAAGTGGAGGCAATGATACCTCCTTCTTGTGGTTACCTTTGAATTTGACATGTATTTGCTATGGACCATGCATTCATCATACCAGGAGCTGGAAGTACAGCAGGGAACTAAATGGGCACAGTGTCTGCCCACAAGGGGTTTGCAGCCTAGTGCCAGGGAAGACTGAAGTTAGCCAACCTAACATACAGAACTGCATGTAGCCAGAGCAGAGGGCCAGACAGAGATAATGGTCCAGGTCTTGAGTGGCACAGTATGGGAGAGGTGGTTGACTGAGGATTAGATGAGCTGCCTGGGAGGCAGCCAGCACAGTGCTGGCACACAGGAAGTGATCCATAAAGGCTACCTTTAAAAGAAAAATTGGGGGGTGCCTCGAGGATGAAACCCAGGGCCTCGATCCTGCTAGCCAAGTGCTCTACCACTAAGCTGTACCACCCCCTCCCCCCAAAGGCCAGATTTGGCAAGTCAGAGTCTTTGCTCAGAAAAGCTGGCCCAGAAAGGATTAACTGTAAAGATGAAAAGGAGCCAGGAAGGACAGAGAGAACTAGGGAAGGAGTCCAGCTCTGATTCTCTGCCTTGGTGTGATTGTCTGTGATCAGACATACCTAGGCTTTGCTGGAACCCTCGAC